GTGTATAATCAGAGATGTGATAAAAGAAGCCAGTGGGTATGGGTGCATAGAGCAAAGCTTCTCTCCTTCACTGCCATTTGGCTCAGCTTCCAAACCATACCCCAGGATTTGTGCATTCCACAAATCTTTCTTTTTGGCATAACAGAGATTGGCAAACTCTGGGGAGTCAAATGCTTTAATTAGTTTAAGAGGTAGGCTATGCCATATACTGAGATTAAAGGCTGAAGTCACTAACATTTGATGGTATTGAAGGAGGGAGTACAGATACCAGAGTCCTCAAGTCTAGGCCACATTGGGTGCTTATCAATAAGTAGTAAAATAGCTTGTGTTAAAATATATGCCTTATAATAAGTGGACATATCAGGGACCCCTAACCTGCCCATCTTCATAGATTTGAATAATCCATCAAAATGCTTTACACAATAGCATAAGAAGTTTACACTACCAGATATGGGCATTTAGCATTAGAACATTTGTAAGGAGAGCAGAAAGCAAACCGATAGGCAGGCTACAGAACAGGTACAGGATAAAAGGTAGAACCATATATTAAGAGAGTTGCCCAACAATGAAACCTCCAACCTAGACCATGAAGACTTGGAATGTAGAAAATGTTAAGTTTCAAGCAAAAGTTTGGTATAGTCCTAAGTTACTATGTTACTTCTTGATTTAGTGAGATGAATGCATAAACAGCTAATGTTTTCTCTGAAAGAGAATGTTTGCTGCAAAGAATGTAGGTCTTCACTAGTATGGCCAATTGGGAGGGCCTAAGTTTTATATTTATTTCCTTTGTAGAAGTATATAAAAAGAACAATACCTTTCAAGTAGGATGGAGGAGATGGGGATACAGGGAATCATGGCCTGGGTGGTGGATGAGAAGCAAAATGCTGGACATCTTAGGAGAAAGATGCAAAGGTTGGGGGAGTTGGGGAGAGATACAAGAGTGGGAGATGTTGAGACAGATAGGAAGAAAAAGATAGAGAAAGAAACACTCACTTGATAGGGACTTGTGTCTACTTTACTGTCTTTGTCTGCATGTGTTTGTGCATGAGTTTGAATGTATACATCTGTTTGTGTGTATTGTTTCTCTCTGTGCATGTGTGTGTATGTATTTGTCATAGTATGAGATTGTATATGTTTGATGTAGTTCCAGTATTCCGACCGAGTACCTCTGCCAAGTCTGCTTCCTTGTAGCCATCAGGGACCCTGGAGCACTTCAGACCCAGTTGCAGAGGCTTGACTGGGATAATTGAGGGCCTTTTCCACCCTGGACCAGACTACTGTGACTATAGCACTGGACACACTTTCCATCAGCAGATTATATCCCTTCCCCAAACACCAGACGTCACTTGGTGAAGGTTAAAACGGCAACTAATTTTAATGAACACAGCACACATATTTATGCCCCCCAACAGTCTCATTTACATACAGTAGGGTGCATAGAGCCATACAGTTTAAGGAAGGGCAAGGTCAGACAATAGCAAGGGCTGATGGGAGATTGAGGAGGGACAGGGCAGCTAGTTTAAACTGGTCTGACAGTGTCACTGGGACAACGCAGTGCTGGGGAAACAATAGGACAGGAAAAAGGGGGAGGGGAAGTGGCACATACAAGCAATACATTCAACATACCCTGCACCAATAATGGGCACAGGCTGACCAAAACACAAAAGGAATCTGGGGACCCACACATAGTGGCAGTCTTCCATCACAATATGTATCTATGCCATGGTATGTCTGTATGCATGTACCTGTATGTTGGCGATTCTGCCTGTGCATGAGTGTGTCTGCATGCATGTTTCTGCCCATTTGCAAATCTGTTTGAGTGTTTTTGTGTATCTTAGTATGTAAGCCTAAGCTTATGTATGTCCATATGTTTCTCTAAATAGGCATGCATGTTCATTTGTTTGAGTGTTCCTATGTATAGTGCTCTTTTCAAATGTGTGTGTCTTTTTGCTGGTGTATGCCTACATGTCTCTGTATTGATGTATGTGTATATTTCTATGTTTTTATTTGCATGTATGAATGTGTTTATGTCACTACTTGATTTCTTATGTACATACCTGTCTGTTTTTGAGTGGTACTATTTTAATGCACGTGCTTCAGTGTGTCTATGTTCACCTACATTTGTTGGGTTTAATGTATGCATATGTGATTACAGTTCATATATTGAAGGAAAACAGTCTAGGAGATCTAGCAAGTTGCCAAAGTTGGAGACAAAGGTTGTTCAACGCACCAGGTACGATTGCAGCCTAATATGCTTTTCATATGTAATTAGGAAGGTCTCCAGCAGAGGGGGTATAATGCTGGTGAATCCAAATGTGTTTTTTTTGTAATATCTTTTGAAAACAGTGTAATGGCACCCATAACCTCATAGCACCATAATGTCTTCAACAAACTGTAGTGGTTTTGGTGCTTAGATTGTCCATTTACTAACAATTAATAAGAATACTTTATTTAGATTTTTGAAAAATCACATCCAAATTCTATATATATATATATGTCTAGCTAAATCCATAGTGGTGCTAGATAGACATATTTATTGTAGTTTTGTCCTTGAATACATTTGATAGACTGGAGTTAAATATTCAGTTAAAATTAATGGATTATGCACATGCTATACAAATCATGTTTTATGAAGTGTACCTTTTTGTTCCACATATACTCTACGACATTTGCATTTCTTAAAACTTTCTTCTCAGTGTGACTGAGTGTATTGCTTATCTCCACAGCCCATGACAATAGCTATTCTGCAAACCGATGCTAAACCTTGATAATGATTACTTAACTGACAGAGCAGAGAATGTTATAGTTCGATAAAAGCTGTGTCAAGAACAAACCTCCTGAACACTCAGCTGGTCAATAAATATCATTAGGTAGAAAAACATTCATGTTTTAAGTATATATCCCTCGAAAAGATGAAGTAGTACAAAGGTGTAGTAAATTTCAACCAACCTTCTAGGTTCTAGCTTGCCTGGAGACCCTGCACCCTTAACCCTTCTATTTAATCTATTACACATAAATATGTACACTGATCAGCCATAACATTAAAACCACTGACATGTAAAGTGAATAACATTAATTATATCGTTTCAACGGTACCTGTCAAAGTGTGGGATATATTAGGCACCAAACAAACAGTTCTTGAATTTCATGTGTTGGTAGCAGCAAAAATGATTTAAAAAAAACATAAAGATCTTAGTGACTTTGACAAGGGTCAAATAGGGATGTCTAGAGGACTGGGTCAGAGCATCTCCAAAACGGCAAGTCATGTGGGGTGTTCCTAGAGTGTCCATGATGACCCCTGTCCACCGCCACAAGTGTCTTTAATGGGGACAAGAGCAGGAGCAATGGAAGAAGGTTGCCTGGTCTGAACATCAAATCCGATCCATAGAGGCCCCCCTTCCCAGCCTGCAGTACTTAAAGGATCTGCTGCTAATGTCTTGGTGCTAAATACCACAGTACACATTCCAAGGTCTTGTGCAGTCCATGCCTCAATGCATCAGAGCTGTTTTGGCAGGGGGACCTACACAATATTAGGCAGGTGGTTTTATTGTTGTGGCTGATCAGTGTATGCACAAATACAAGGGGATTGTTCACATTCAGCTTTTTAGTCCATTGCAGTGGTTCCTAACTTTTTTTTCACTTGATTACCAGTTGGAAGCCCATTTCCATAAATTGTACACCTCATATTAGCAAATTGTTTGCTATTAATATAGTTGTTGTTTAAAATGTAGATTGTAGCAGAGCTCCGATACCATGCATGGGTATCTCCGCTATTCCTTCCTCGAAGCTGAAAGAAGCACTGCAATAATCCCAGACAATTTCCCCCCAGCAACTAGACAACACATAGTTCTTGGAGTCAACTGATTTTATTTTGGCCACACATGGCTTTTATGTACTGACCCCTAGCATGGGGTCTCCACATCAAAAATCAAGCACTTTCATCTCTCTGTTTCTGAGAGATTATTGAGTGGAAAAATTATAACTCAATTATCTCTCAGATACAAGAAACACACACAATATTACAATTTACCCCAAAAATACATTTCAATAACATAGGAACCCCATGAAGGCCATACCACCAAATAGCTTGGGTTTGAGCACCCACTTTGTTGAAATAGGGCTCAGATGCCTTTGTTGCTTCGGGAACGCCATTCGAATGAAGTTATGACCGGCCGGTCACGAGATGATGCCCCAAAACAGTTCCATAGAAAACAAGGCAATGATTGGTAATCTTTCGGGGGTTCTTACACGAACACCAACAAATGTGCCCCCTGGCTGTTAGGAAGCAAATGTTCCCCCTGTTTGGTAGTTCATGCCTTCCGAACGACGTTCTCTAACTGATCAGGAAGTTGGCTGGACAGTGGTACAAGTTTCCCAGGTGTTCACGGGGTTGTGTATCCGAGATATAGTTCCATGCCGTAGACGACCATGTAGCACTGCCTGCGTTCGGGAGACAAAATGGCCGCCAATACTTGGAGCACGTGTGTTCGGTTATACTAACAGCACCCACACAGGGAAAACACTTGCGCTAATGATAAATTTGTGGTTAACAGCCAGGGCTGGTCAGTGATTAGAAGGTGCGTAGAAGGTGTGAACAAGGGGACCATACGGATTTGGTTCGGTAAATGAATGGGGGATGTACGGACAGGCGAACAACGAGGAATAAAAGTGTATTAGGGGATCCATTCCACTACATAGATGCTGTTTTACAGGCTCCCCTGCTTCTCCTCTGCCACAGGCTCTCCTGATCTTCTTTTGTCCCAGGCTCTCCTGCTCCTCCTCTGTCCCAGGTCCCCCTGCTTTTCCTCTGCCGCAGACTCTCCCTGCTTTTCTTCTGACCCAGGCTTCCCTACTCTCCCTGCTTCTCCAGGCTCTACCTGCTTCTCCTCTTTCACAGACTCCCCTGGTCTTCCTCTGCCGCAGACTCTATAGGCTCTCCCTGCTCTTCCTCTGCCCTAGGCTCACCCTGTTCTTCATCTGCCACATGCTCCCCTGCTCTCCCTGCTTCTCCATTACCCCAGGCTCCCCCTGTTTCTCCTTTGCCCCAGGCTGTCCCTGCTCTTCATCTGACCCAGACTCTCCCTGCTCCTCCTCTGATCCAGGCTCACCTGCTGCTCTTTTGCCCCAGGATTCCCTGTTCCTCCTCTATCCAAGGTCCTCCTGCTTCTCCTCTGCTCCAGACTCCTCTGCTCTTCCTCTGCCTTAGGCTCTCCCTGCTATTCCCCAGGCTCTTCCTAATCTTCCTCTACCCCAGGCTCTTCCTGTTTCTCCTCTGCCCCAGGCTTCTC